AATCAGTCGGAGTCAAGACAGTGTAGTGAGTGATATAGTGAATGAAAGTGGTGTGAGTGCGCGACACACCGCTAAGTCAATCTCTCGCGAAATTAGTGGTTCAAGACTCGGTGTACATAGGGCTACGTCCCCCACTATGAACAAGACAATTAAATTTGATAATTTACCTGAACCTTAATCGTAATTGGCTTAATTTTTAACTAATCTACTTTTGTATTTTTTTTATTTTGGCGGTATTTCGTTGCTGGCAATATGTACAAGCCATTTTCATTATATTTTTGTTTGTTTGCATTTTTAACTGTCGAGTGTTATTGCCACATCGGCCTAATTAATATGTACATTTTTACAAGCGCATGTTGGACAGTGCATTAAAAGCATTCAACCTGTATTGACGTATACTTTATTTGACAAACTCTCTCTAATTAATCTTCCCGTGACATTCTATTGACATTCCTCTTGTGTGAGCTATTGCAGGCTCGCACAGTCTATTAATATCAGTTAGAAAAATGCTGTAGGTACTTTTGAAAGTTAACAAACAATTACAAACCATTTTGGTGGTAGTCTGTCTGTTTACTGGTTCCAAAGATTAGGTATATTTCTAACTGGAATATGAAAGAGTAACTATTAATTAGTGTCAACACTACAAAAATCAGAGAATTGATGAACAAACTTCTATCTAAGTACTACATACTACCATTTTTCAATCTGTCAACTTCAAACAATTCTCCACCCTAATACAAATAATAAACTTCATTAAAAATTATCTATTAAGGAAGGTGTACAACCATGTCACAGCACATAGGTACAAGGGAGACCCCCGTGTCCTTAGGGATGTGCCGTAACGGGGAATGCACAGTGAGGGCTCCTAAGCAAGTCTCTTTTAGGCCACCGGGGTTAGTGGGGTCAAAATTCCACACTCCCTAGTATTTTATCCCCAAAAAGCTAGGCGCCATTTTAAAGATTTCCCCCACCATAAAAAAGATGTACCGCGATCAGCTTAACACTTGCACCAATCCTAAGCTATATAATCTGAAGGTCGGTTACATTCCCAATTTCTGAGTCCAGTCGAGTCGCCTGACGCCTGGTACGGCCGGCTCCGTTGTCGGCGCTCCTAACTTCACAGCTACCTATATCTAATGACTAACTATAGTATGACTAAAGCTTTCGATTTTAACTATAGGTCAAAGTTGTATCGTAAAACTTTAGGTTGATATTCTTCTTGTGGTTTGATCTTCAAGTGCTAGGTGTATTGTGGTTTTTATACATGTGTAATTATAAATATATATGAGGTTACTTATATAGGTAGATCGGTATAGGTTTAGTATAACGATACTCTTTTTACTTTGTTTGTGTTCAAGGTAGAAAATAATCTTTTATAGATGCACTCGGCCAACGCCATACTACTAAAATTTAGTAGTCTTAGGCTTCTACATCCAATTTTGGTAGTCGCATCTACTCCCTACAAATGGCTCTAAAAGACGGTTTTATGAGAATATCTTTTATGAGGTAGGTACTTACTAACATCATGTCTCGTTGGCCGAGTGGTCGCAAGTGCGACTGCCGGGCAAGGTATCTCGAGTTCGAAATCCGGGTCGGCCAAAGTATCACTGGGTTTTTTTTTAAATATCTCACTAGTAGCACGGAGTCTGGAAATGTGCCCGGTATATGGCAATAGGCTCACCCCCTATCACATGGGATGGGACTAATAACATAATAAGTGAAAAGTGGGTGTTATACTGTACAGTGGCATTAAGTGCCGTAATGTGCTCTCTTCGGGAATAAAAGGCGTAATGGTATGTTAAGTATTTTTTTTAATCATCGAATTACTCTCTGTCACCACCGAGTGTCACACTCTTACTGACTGACACTGTGGAGTGACACACTCTTATTGACTAAAAACCACCCCGTTTGTACTCCTGCCCTTCAAGCCGGAGCCCCTCAGCGGCTATGTTATGTACTAACATCGCTTCGTAGCTTTTTTAGGTATTCTTCACTGAGTTTTTTTTTAAGGGGGAAAGTCATCGAATGACTGCTCCCGCCTGGGTGAGGCGGGAGGGAGTGTCAGACTCTTACTGACTAAAAACCACCCCGTTCCTTCCCCTGAACGTCGAGCCGGAGCCCCGGTAACCCGTTAGGTTCTCCGCGACATTCTTTACTGAGTAGGCCAGTGAGTGATAAAAAGGATAGAATGAAAATTAGAAATATTTGATGTAAATAATAATGACAAGTGATACAGAGCCGGTCATGGCCTTTAACACCATTAGAGGTACAAGTGCGTTGCTGGGTTTTATCGTAGACACACGATGAGTACACAATTTTCATGATGACGATATAATTTTCCATACTCAAGTGGTTGTGTCAACATTCGAGTTCATCCGGTAATAGGTGCTATGGTAAAGCCTATGTAGATTGGGAAATCTTGTCATACTCATAGAGTTAGTTAAGGAATTTCCTACACTTGATTTCATTATGTAAGTCCGCTTACTAGTACTATTAAATAAATATAGTAAATACCTGATGGGTTCATCAACCGCCTATGAAGTGTCTAGCTTAGCCGATGCAAAAAAATAATACTTAAACCGCATGTTGATGGCAAAAAGTTCATAATAGACTAAACCACTTGAGACAAGTCTTTTGATAAAAAGTGTAAGTTTGTCTACTAGCTTCATAAGCGCCAATAATAAAAAGGTAGGCAGTTAAAAAAGGTAGGTAATTCCAGTCTACAGTAGGTACATTTGAAATTAAAAATCAACAAAGTTTACTTAAACTCAATTACTCGGATTATCGAAACTTTATGGTCAGTACATTTCAAAAGGTTGTTGTAATAGGTCTTTACCTCTTAAATTATTTATGAAGTTATTTTTATTTGTTTTAATCGAAGTAATCACCCATGCAATCTATGCATCTTTGTCAACACAGTGGCAGTTTATTGATGCCCTTCATCAATCTGATAATGAATATGATGCCATGCAGAAATCAGCTGGACGGGAGGCAACAAATTCTTAGTTTTGCAAAGGCTTTCAAAGAATTTTTTCCTCGCCAAGTAGTTATCCAAATTCTAGAAAAAGTAGTAGGTAGGTAGTTTGTAGGCGCAAGCACGAGCTGATGAGTAGGGCAGATGGCGGAGAGTTCCAACTCCAATTATTGCAACTTGGAGACCGTCTGTTGTGTAGTATGAGTTCACGCATTGTCGTGCAGGAGCAGCGGGGATGTGCGATTAACCAATACTGGTTGGAAATGTGGCAGCTTCTCCATCATTGAAAGAAACACAACGCAACGCTTGCATTGTGTTTCGTCGTGTGAGTGAGGTTACCGGAGGCCCAATTACCCTCCCCTTCCCTAATCTCCCCAATTCCTGAATCCCCAACGATCCTCAAACACCTACTCCCCAAAAGGCCGGTAACGCACTTGTAACGCCTCTGGTGTTCCAGGTGTCTATGGGCGACGCCGATTGCTTACCATCAGGTGATACGTCTGCTCGATTACTGGCTTATGCCATAAAAAAAAAATTGTTTTCAGTTCTTTACAGTACACATATCTGCTGTAACGCTCACTTAGTTTGGTAAGAAGCTGTGATGAATCACACCGGCGCTAGACCACCAAACAGTGACCCTCACTTTTGTAGAGGTAAGTTTTAGATTAGGGCATTGTTTAGGTGCTAAATCAGGATCCAACCAACTTGCTGAGCGCTTGCTGTTGTCAAACAGAATTCACTTTACATCGTAGGTAACAATGCAGTTCAAAATTCCTTCATTTGTGTGTCTATTGAGCAGTGCAAGGCACGTTTCGACGCGTAATTCACGCTGGCGATCGTTAAGTTCATGGGCACCCATTTGTCAAGCTTTTTTAACTTGCCAATTTGACGCAATTGGACTATTGTTTTGACGCTAACGTCAAAGACTGCTGCTAATTCAGCCGTAGATTGTATATCGTCAGCTTCTACAATCGCCTTTAATTCGTCATTGGCAACCAACGTCTTCGGACGACAGCGAAGTTCATTTTTTAGGGCGAAACAAGAACAGAAGCGAGCAAGCCAATAACAGGTGGTGCTTTGGTTTGTAGTGGTAGCTCCGTCGTTGATGTTGCGTGCCGCACTGCCGCTTGTGCCGCGTTGCTCCCACGACCACGACCGACGATCATATTCCATAATTACCTACTCGAATTTTTTATGTAGGTATCCACGAAGAAGATGACGAAAAAGATTGAAATGCGACGAAAATGTATCACTAAAAAACAAATGACTAGGTACTCTTAAAAATCCAAGATTTTAAAATAAAATTAATTTGAAATTAGAATTCTTAGCCAAACAAAAAATATTTTGATTAGAAATGGCCATTACTGTAGAACGGCAATTTCGTGATTAAAGAGCTAATATTAACAAGTAACAACATACTCAACAACATTGTCAACAAGAAGTAAATAGGTAATGGTAGTAGTCAATACATAGATACCTACTAATTTACTAATATTGTTTGTTGTAATTCCGATTTTCAACTACGTCGCCATACTATGCCATCTGTTGGTCGTACGTTTCAAGTAATTAGACTATCGAATTAAAAGTTATATAAAAGTTATATCATTACAAAATTATTTACCAACACGAATCTGTTCCTATATTGATTTTTCAACAGAAATAACATTATCATCGTTGAAGGATCAAAACTTGAATATTATAAAAATCAATAAAATATGTTCGTATTATGCGTAACGTGTGAAACGAAACGTAATAAGTTGCGTAGGCCCGTTGACGTCACAATGACGTCATCAGTGTTGACATTTGACATTTTGGTGGAGAATCTTTGTTTTTAGTTTCTGAAATTAAATATTATTATAGCACCAAAAAACATAATAATGTGTTAAGAATAAAGTTAGATGCAAAGTTAGTGTTATTTTCTTTTATTTGCAGCAGTTTACAATGCTTATCGTGCAGTTGTTTTGTCAATAAAAATATTTAAAGTTTTCGCACGATTCGAGTGGGTTTTTGGCAAAAATATTGGAAAATGAAGCCTGGAAAGAGTGTGGATGTTAAAGAGGAGATAGCAGAGGTGCATACGTCTGCTCGTTCTCCGTCTCCAATACAGAAAACAAAAAGATCACGAAGTCGGTCTGGTTCGCGAAAAATGTCAAACGGTCATGCTGCACCCGATGAAACTCCGGCCTCCGAGGAACCTGCAGGAGACAAATCGAAACGAGACAGCTGGATTAAATCGGAACACGAATCCCTCGACACGGAATTACCGATACATGATCAAATAAAACAAGGAATCCTGGGTTTTGTTGAAAAAGAATTAAAGAATTCGGATAAGAACCCATCGTTTGTATTCTACTCCCATGATCCTAATCATTTGGATGAGAAGTTCATGAAGACCTTGTCTAGACCTTCGAGTGGTCATAAGGAAAAGCGGAGTCCTTCTTATCGTAAGAAGAAACGGCATTCTTCTAGACATAGAGACCGAGAACTACATGATTTTGATATACCTGGGTCTAGTCTTAGTGCCTTGGAAAGGGTAAGTGGTTCATTTAAGCAACTATTATTTGTTTATGTTCATGAAAATAAATCATTTTTACTAATTTATTTATTTAATTAATGTGGCTAACCAATAATTGATTACAATGATACAATATACATTTATTATTATGATAACTTAAATAATAGTACATTAATCTTTTATAGGTAAGCACAACATGCAACTTCTAACAGTAGCTTTAGTAAACTTTTAAATGTATAAATTACTGTTTTTTTAACAGTACCACAGAAATATGTAGCAAATAAAATCATCATTAAAAGTCTAATAGAATTACTTAAGTTTTTATATAAAATCCACATTATCTTTATTCTGCATAAATTCTATAATATAAAAATAGACAAACTACAGTATTAGGTATCTTTATTTAGAAAAAATAATTTAAAAGTTTGTTTGTGTGAAATCACCTTGTAAAAATATTGATGTGATAAATATTGCATATAATTTATAATTCTGTTTTCATTTTTATCAGATATCATCTTTTTCATCGCAGGTGGATGACTACCTCAAAGAGTACAAAAAAGATGAAGTAGTAACTCTTAGCGGTGAACTAGAGATTGAGATGAATGATGTTGAGAACAATAATGGTATATCTAAGGAACTACGGAACAAAACTCGGAAGACTAGAAGGAAAGTCAGGGATGAGAGACAAGAGAGCAGTGTCAACGGACGAGATGTCAGCCCTAAAGTGTTTAAGAGTACGAAGAATAAAACTGGGACGAAGCCAGGTGATTCAATTGTTTTGTGTAATTGTTAATATTGATGATAAGGATCAGTTGTTTAATGTAAGCGAAATGTTAATCTTAGATTGTGACAAAGTATAATAAAAATGCTTGCTTTGTGTTTCGTCGTGTGAGTGAGGTTACCGGAGGCCCAATTACCCCCGCTCCCACCCTTCTTCAATCCCTGAATCCCCAACAATCCACAACTAACGCATTTGCAACGCCTCTGGTGTTTTAGGTGATTGCTTACTATCACGTTCACCAGCTTATACCATAAAAAAAAATATAATAATAATTTGTTACAACATTTTTGGATTCTTACTAATTTAGAAAATTAACTATGTAATGAATTATATGTATAGCTTCAGCCAGGTTTTTAAAACATCACTTTTACAATATGATGAAAATCTAAAGACATCCATGACCAGCCTGAAATTAGGCACACATATATTTACATAGTTTATTCACCAAAGTTAAAAAATGGGATCTGTTGATTAAACCTAACTAAAATCATATAAAATATTTCTTTTCCAGTTCGCCCAACGGATTTGACAACCATGTTGGAATCTTTAGAGTCTAGTATGCCTTACCATGATCAGTACATAGACAATCCATTCTCATCACCATCTCCGCTGACATCACCTAATGTTGAGAGACTGGACCCGTTTGGTTCTCGTAGACCGGAGAAGATATACCTTCAGGGTGGAGGGACTTTCAGAGCTGTCTCCAGAGATAGGATATTGGAGTCTCAGCAGTCTAGAGATGGTGATAAGTATTTGAGGTGAGAGTTATAGCTTCGCAGACGAGTGGTCGTAATTGCCTTGCACTTGAGTGTAGAAGTTCTTAGTAATAGATAACTCGAAGTATGTTAAAGTGGAATTAAATAACAATTGGCTCAGCCCCAATATACATTGGTATATAACGTTAAAGCTACTTTCGCCTGTGATATAGGTTTTGCTAGTACAGGCATATTTAACTGTATTAGGTCTACATTGTTTATTAAAATAATATTTTGTATTTTACTCATTTTATCATCAATAAAGATTAATAGACTGACTGCCTCGTTAGCCGAGGGGTCGCAATTGCAACAGCCGGGCAAGGGGTCTCGGGTTCGATTCCCAGATCGGGCAAAGTATTACTGGGTTTAAAAAAAATCTCAGTAGTAGCACGGAGTCTGGAACTGTGTCCGGTATATGGCAATAGGCTCACCCCCTATTACATGGGACTCATAACATAAATAGTGAAAAGTGGGTGTTACATTGTACAGTGGTATAATGTGTACCTCTGCCTACCCCTTCGAGGATAAAAGGCGTGATATTACAGGATAAAAGGCGTGATGTTAGTTCAGAATTGAACTTACAACACTTACAAGTCCCAACACAACTGGTGAAAAGTGGCTGCTATATTGTGTTATAGGTATCTATTCGTTCTAATTCATATCACCAAAAGAAGCGGCATTCTTCTAGACATGGGACAGAAATCTGCATAATTTTGCATGTCTAGTCTTAATGCTTTGGAAGGGATAAGCTGTTAATACCGTTGTGTGACTACTACCTAAAGGATTATTTTAAAAGTTCTGATTTTAGATATGAACATTTTAACAGAATCTTCATATGCCTAATGTTTTCGTTCCATAATTACAGACTGGGCGACCTTACACCCCTAGATGTGGCATTAACCTTACAAAAAGCCTGGCGTTCTTCGGCTCCAGCTTGCCATGGAGTGCTGGGAGGTCTGTCTTTGATGCACCTACTCCTCATCAGTTACTCCGATGGGTTAGATGCTGGACACCTCTCGTTTCACGCAGTGGTCACTATGCCTTACGTCGCCACTTACTATTTCTTCTGTGTCCTGTGTCTGCTGTCTGTGTTGGATAGGTAAGTGTTTTTTCTTCTAATAAGGTCTATCAATTAGTATGTCATTTGAAAGGTTTGATAAGAATATAATTGGCGTAAAACGTAGGTTTGCTAGATAGAAATTAATGGCAGCCCATGCCAGCAATCAAAATTTGCTTTCAATAGAAACTATATAACTAGAGAATTGTATTGTGAACCTGATCGAAAAAGAATAATCTATGGAATTTCTTGTTCGTTCTTCTCCATAGGAATCTACACTTTGGAATGAGCAAAAAGCTTCACTTTTAATTTTTTGTTGACGTTCAAAAGTGCCTTACTATATAGTTGAAAATCTATGAAAGAAATTTGACAAAACAATATATTGAGTAGATAAACGCCTGACAAATTAGTATGAGCAATGTAACTCGTATAATAGAAATAGCTATACTTACATCAGGAACCATAGTTGTTTATACCATAACATTATTGATTATTGTAAACACAGAACTTTCTGCATTCCAGATTGGATGTAACAAGTCTAGACCTGACTAGAGGTCTACAACCATACTTCCAGCCCATAGTCCTGGTGATGCTGTACACAGCGTGTCTGCTAGTCTGCACTGCAGCCAGGATGTATGATGAGCTGATGGTCTACCAGTACGCGCCACTAGTGAATAATATTACTAGCAACAATATTACTACTGTGAGTTGTGACTTTTTCATTATCATAGATTTTTCGGGTCCGCAACCATAATTTTTTTTATACCTGATACTACCTATACACGGTAACCGCACCTGATGGTAAGCGGTTACCGTGGCCTATGTACGCCCGCAACACTTGGTGCTAGTATCTTACCCCTAGTATTGGTGTGGTGCATCCCTTGAGATTCTGACAAGTTAATAAAAAAAAAAGATTTGCAAGTCCAGGGTGCTTACTCTTGAAACCAATCTCAATGTCAATGCAATTTCAATCCAATAAAATCTCAATAATGATGTCAAAACGATACAACCACAATCGTAGATGTTAATATAGCATTTAGAGTACGGGATATAAAGTCAAACTCAGTACCATTTAGTTCATTCAATATCCACGCAATACGGATGCAATAGGCGCTAGTGTTGCAACTCAAGAGTACGAAATTTCGCAATACCAATGTCGATCGATCGGAATTGGCTTCTAGAGTAAGCCACCTGGTTGTGTCTGGTCCAGTCAAGGTAGTTATTAAGTTAATAAGTTTGGGAAATTCCTAAATTGGAATGAGAGTAGTCACAAATACACATGGCATTAACAGCCTGTTCTGGTCCAGTGTTGGACATAGGCCTCTAGGCCTCACCAATGGCACGCCATTTAGCTCGATCTTCAGTTCTACGCATCCAACCACTACCAGCTGTCTTGCGGATATCGTCACTACACCTAGCAAGAGGGCGCCTTACATTACGTTTGCCTAGACGTGGTCTACACTCCAGAACACGTATACCCAAACGGTCATCGGTTTTTCCACAAATGTGGCCGGCTCACTTCCATTTCAGCTTGCTAATCCTTTGGGCAACGTCGGTAACTTTAGTTCTCTGTCGGATCACCTCTTAAGGATCCTATTCTTCAGATAGACTCCGAGAATAGCCCTCTCCATAGTATTCCTCTACAAATACAAAATGCATGACATAACCAACCAGTTGTCATGTTCTGAAATCGGAATAAGAACCTTCTTTCTTGTTTTCTATTCTGTCTGTTCTATAAGCAAAATAAATAATTAGATATTATGTTTTTATAATAACTATCGTGAGACATACTAAATTAACTAAAAATCACGAGTTACTCACCTGAAAATACTGACCTGAGGAAGAGCCCCTCTGTGGCTCGAAACTAGTAGAGCTTTTCTCAGTATTTTCACTTGAGTAACTCGCGATTCTTAGTTAAATTATATATCAACTCGTATATCCCCACGCGGCCACCAGTAACTACTCTCCGCTAACTATATTATAGACCTTATTTCCAATGTTTAGAGACCACTTTTGTATGAACAAATTTAAATGATTTTCAACAGGTTAAGAGTAATATAACCTTTTTAAAATTTTCAGCCAACAATACCAACATTCTATCACACTTGGACGCATTTTTCAATATGGCGCGCGGTCCTATCAATACTAGGTCTGGTCTACTTCATCATATCGAACCCTCAAGATCTAGTCTTCACTAACCTCAGCAAGTTATTACAATTTAAGCATTCCCTTCAGAGCATTGGATGATTCTTCTTGAGGCTTAGTTTAAGGTATGTACTTAAGTTAAAGTCTTGCCATGGATTTATAGATAACACTATTTATTAAATAATTATGTTCTATACCTTACTCACATAATTGTTTGACGAGGTAACTCGATTTTGATTCTATGAGTCCCTGGTGGGGGTCGAAACTAGTTGAGGCATCTTGTCGAACAGTTATGTGACCGTAAAACGAATTAATGTTATTCATAAACAATTGAACTTAAACATACTTAGATATTGTAATTTTTGGTGTCTGATTTTTATTAATTTATCTTCATTTTGAAGGTAGAAATGTTAAGTGAGTCAATTTTTGCGTCTGAACTAAAAATATAATTTTTTTCCTCACAAAATGCACACTTGTTTGTGTTGTAAGTTAAGTTTTAATGAATATTAAGTATTGCTGGAAAAGAAGGAATTTCAGTATGATTTTATTTTCTGTTATAATAGTAGAGATAACAGTAGTCGAATTTATGTAATAAACCCCTTGAATCTCATTTTAGACTAGCACAAATGTACTCGTACAAAACCAAAGATACATTTTGTAGCTATAAAAGTGTTTATAGAAATACAAATATTATAATTTCCAACACAAGTACAATTTTTGTCTAGTCACAGTTGCATTTATTTAAATGAAATATACTTACATAAGAATTTTTTATTTATTTAAGTCATATAAGTATTAAATACACTATAAAAAAAGTGTTATTTTATTTAAGTCACATTACGCACGCGCAAGACACGCTTGTTAGTTTTATAAAATAAAATGTCTGATAAGATGCGAAATGAAACTTTATTTGTTATATATTATACAATAATTTATTTATTGACTGCCTCGTTGGCCGAGTGGTCGCAAGTGCGACTGCCGGGCAAGGGGTCTCGGGTTCGATTCCCGGGTCGGGCAAAGTATTACTGGGTTTTAAAAAATTCTCAGTAGTAGCACGAAGTCTGGAATTGTGCCCGGTATATGGCAATAGGCTCACCCCCTATTACATGGGACTCATAACATAAATAGTGAAAAGTGGGTGTTACATTGTACAGTGGCATAATGTGCACCTCTGCCTACCCCTTCGGGGATAAAAGGCGTGATGTTATGTTATGATGTTATGTTATGTAATTTATTTATATTATTATGTTATATATTATAGTGGCAACCATTACAATAATTACATGCCAAATATCCAAAAGAAATAAACCTATATTTTTTTAAACCCATTATTTTTTAAACCTCTATAGAGTAAGGTTGAAATCAGCTTTCTTCCTATATCGTATTTATAGCATTATTAAAATTTAAAGTAACTTATATATATAAATATATACCTATAGGTAACTGTTTATAAATGTTTTATAATAATTACAATTACATCATAATACTATCATTATAGTATAACAATTAACAATTACATACCTACAATTAAAGTTTACAATTATAAAAAAGTAATTTATTATTTTTGCTATAGTAGGTTTCACTTATAAAGTAAGTCATTCCAAAGTATATTTATAATAATGTCTCGGCAGCTATTAGCATAGATTATATAGTTCTAAAATAAAAATTATATAGTCAGTTATTTTAAGGGACCATTGCTAATATAAATTATTTGCGGCAGCTACTCATTTTAAATAAATTCTTATATATAAAACTCTAAATCAAAATAACTACCTTTATATTTTTCATTTAGAAACACGTGAATGGAATTGTATAATTTATATGTCCTATTACGATTCCACATTTAATTTAATACATTGTCACTTATAATTTATTAAATAAAATTCGACTGAGTGTAATTGGCAAATATATAGAAGATTATCCCTACATATAATTGTAAAAACGGCTAATTCTATAAAATGTTCTTGTATAATAAATAACTATCTATAATGTAATGAAATATAAACAATAAATTTAATTTAAAGTGTTGCTGTTTTAATCTTAATTTGTTTCCATAATATATGCATAAGCAAGTACTTAAAGTTAATAGTAAGTTTCTTTTTGTGTTCATAAACGATTCTGGTATTGATACCAAAGATTATAATTAATATACGCTTTTTTAATAAAAAAAAACATGCTGTTTTGGTTTAAAAAAAAAATGTATATTAATTTTAAACATATCATAATATATTTCTATGTGAGACCCCATATTAGAACATTATTAAATGAGTGTTTAATGCATATGCGTTTTAAGTGCTTATGTATATTGTCTGTCTGTCTGTATGTCTGTATGTAAGGAATATTAGTATGTATATGTATGTTTATGTGCCATATCACATATATTATAATACATGAAACTTGGTTAAGTGGGACCTGGATAAGTGAGAAACCTACATAACTGGAACTCATGCTGAGGTCCCAACACTTTGGCACTGAATTACCTCTGTTAATGGGACGAGGTAAACCTCTATATCTGGGATTTGTTCCTTCGATTTATCATCATAGTTACCTCTATAACTGAGACAGCGAGTAAATTTTATATGCATAAACCTCTGTAACTTAGATAACATTGTTTGTTTACTCATTCTTATTCTACCCACAAATTCTATACGTAATTCCAAGTCCACCTCTTAATGGAACCCTCTGTAATTGAGACAGATATTTTTTTATACCTGTATATCTGAGACACTGGGTAAGTGGAATACCTCTATAAGTAAAACGATATTGCAGGTCCCTTGATCTCTCACTTAACCAGGTTTCACTAATATAGAACTGTTCGTAGAAAAATGTGTTGTATGTATGTATGTAATTCTGTATTGTATTGATCATTCGTATATGTATTGTATGTATGTAACTTTTTAAATTGTGTGATTGGTGTATTGTAAGTAGATTTCAATAGCACAAATTACAATCTTATCTTTTGTTCTCAATTTCTATAAGTAAAATGACTTATATCATTTCAATAATTTTATACATATGTATTTTATTTGCATAAGAAATGTTAAAATATGGCAATAGGCTCACCCCCTATTACATGGGACTCATAACATAAATAGTGAAAAGTGGGTGTTACATTGTACAGTGGTATAATGTGCACCTCTGCCTACCCCTTCGAGGATAAAAGGCGTGATGTTATGTATGTATGTATGTAAGAAATGTTAAAAATAATTTAAATTTATTTTAATGATTTCCAATGTTTTATTTTATGCTTCCTGATTTATTATATAATTTCAAAAATAATATTAAGTTCCTGTTGAATCAAAGTAATAAAATAATAATACACGATATTTATTAATATAATAATTTGCAGCCATTTAAATTTAAATAGACATTAAGCAAAATATATCAAACTAAAATGACTATAATAAATGTTAGATAATATGATACATGTATGTAAATTAATCTAATATCTTCTTATAATATAAATATATAAAACACATATAATATTGACTGTTGACCATGTAATTCAAATATAAATAAACAATTGATTGATTTGTGATATATTAGTCTTTTTTATTATTGTATCAATTCACGCACGATTGTTACAATTTCTACTTAAGTAAATATCTATACATATAATAAAATTGTAGAAAAGTGCTGTCTGTACATACATATAATAAAATTGTAGAAAAGTGCTGTCTGTACATTGAAAATAAAAATAAAAAAAATAGCAGGGGTTATTGTTATGTCGATGTCGAACCCAAAAATGTAATTAACTTTTTTTTGTCTGTTTGTCTGTTTGTCTGTTCACGCTAATCTCAGAAACGGCTGATCCGAGTTGGATGCGGTTTTCACGAATATATTGTAGTATGCTTCAGTTATGTTTTAGTGTTTGTTTCATGTCAATCGTTTCATAAATAAAAAAGCTATGTCAAATTAAAGAATCACGTCGTGAGTATATATTTAAAAAAAAAACGCTGCTCATAGTCACTATTCCACGCGAACGAAGTCGCGGGCACAGCTAGTAATTTAATATATTCCTAAATTTCGTGACAAAATAAGGTCATTTCTGTTTAAAATTAATACAAGAATTGCAATGTAGCTATGATATAATTAACACATAGATTAAAGTAATCCATTACTAAGGAGACGTTTGCAGGAAACCCGTTCCATATTTTGTATTTTGAGGAAGAAATGTCAATATATTCCAATGCATCGTATAAGGCCTCGCGTAGTTCTTTATCTGTATAAAGATTTTGAATGTTAATAAATAATACAAACTTAAGGGTTAAAATATAATTCTATTACCGATATCTTTTTATAGACTAGTAGGTATCAATACTAAAAGATTATGTTTTTCGAGGAGCGCTCCACCCCGAAAATATAACTCCTTAATTGGATTTAGAACTCTTATCAAATTAAACGTAGCAAGATTATATCACAAATCACACTCATTATCTTGACTTCCCCTGTTCGACTATATATATATAAGGTATAGTAGCTAGGCTAAAGCCTATATATATAGGTTTAAGCCTATATATAGGCCTCCAAGGCTTAGGCATAGGCTAAAGCCTTGGAAGTTTACCTCCGATATACCATATAAAAATATATATAAACTGGTAAATACCTTTACATGTCAACATTTCGTTGACTAAAATTTTATTTATCTCGTCTAAATGGTTAGATACGACTTCCATTAGCAACATTGGTATGGATATAAGACTCACTGAGAACGCCAATTGCATCATCCAAATAATGTCTTCTGCAACAACCTGTAATCGATTCTGGTTAGGAGTCAGCACAAACGCCAAACAAGTAAAGGCTTTTTTTTTTAAGGGGGTAAAATCATCGAATGACTGCTCCCGCCTGGGTGAGGCGGAAGGGAGTGTCAGACTCTTACTGACTAAAAACCACCCCGTTTCTTCTCCTGCACGTCGAGCCGGAGCCCCGGTTACCCGTTAGGTTCTCCGCGACATAAAACAACTAAAGGCTAGCGCTCACTGCCGGCACGGTACGGTGTGGCATAGCAAAGAATTTTATCACTAACCAAGTTAATTTTGAATCTTATTTCATGTTACTTTACTTTGATACTACGATGCTACTGCGTCAAAGTCAAAGCATTT